GCGGTAGTCATAGGCAGTAGTCTGAGCAGCGGTAAAGGAGGCCATCAACATGGAGGACAAGCAAAGTAATTACGTCATGACGGAATTACGGAATGACTACGACCTGGATGACTGAGAATCTTCACCAACTTATGGTGGAAACGTAGGAGGTCAATTGTTCAAATTGAAGAAATTGGTTCTGAAAAGTCCTTAAAAGTGCTTGGATTTGATGTCAACCGATGTTTGTGAATTCTCTGCTTCTAAATGATATTTTGTTTGTTTTATACAAAGCAATGCTGTTTTTTTTTTTTTTTTTACACAATATCATATAGATGTATGAAATGGTGAAATATATTTGTTTTTATGGAGACTGCCACTCATTAAGCCCCTTGAGGGTTCTTCGGCAGTTGTCCGTCACATTTTCTTTTTTAGTGAAACATTATTCTTTTTTATGTTTTTGTTGTAAAAATAAAAAAAAATAAAAAAAAAGGTTCTGGATGCCAGCTTTAACCCTAAACTTAAATGTATTTTGTGCCACAGGAGAGCAGCTGCAGATCAATCAACCGAACGTGTACGACTGCGACGTCCCTGAGTCCTTTGCGTCCTTGGTGCCTGCTCTGGCTGCAGTCTGCAACAAAAACCTTCCGTCCTCTCAGAGTTTTTCACCCGTGAAAACTGCATCCAACCGCAGCGTGACTCTGACCTCAAAAGGCGGCACCAACTTCATCAGCTTCGCCAAAGGAGCAAAGTTTGACGACGGTGATAACCAGTTTCCATCGGCTGCATCCGTTTAAAGAAGTTTGGATGGTTGTGTTTGAACTTGTCCTCTCTCTGCCCCATCAGACCTCTACCACTCCTGGGTGGCGCCCGCCCTCAGGTCCGACCTCCTGGTTCAGTTCTGGGTCCGCTCCACAGGGATCCTCCCCTCGAACTGCTCGCTGGGCTGGAAGGTCCTGGACATCAAACTCATCAACCCGGGGCAGACGTTCCCTTTCAAGGCCACCCAGGACCACTCTAAGTGGGCCGTCAGCCCGAAGGCAGCGTCGGGCGGGTCACGGGGAGGAGGGGGAGGCTGGGTGTGCGTGGGAGACATAAACAGGAATGAGGCAGAGGAGCGGCGGGGAGGGGGGACGGTGTGTCTTCAGGATCCGGTGGTGTGGAAGGCGTACCGGAGCGCAGCGCTGCAGTGTGAGGCCTGCGGAGGGGGAACGGTCCAGTGTTGACTCGCTGCAGGACGCAGGAGAGTCGACTGAGCTCCTGAAGGGGGGGTGAGGAGGGTGAGGTTAGGAGTCTCTTTTAACAAAATTTCTAACTAAACACTCATCGTCCAGTCCTGTTTGGGCCGGATTTAGAGAGTGTGCATTGCAAGTGGACAGATATTTTTCCCTGGCGGTAATTAGAGCATCTGACAGTCACAACAGGAAGTAAGCAGCAACATGAAAAGTCAGTGTTCCTCTGCCTGTTTCTGAAAAATCCTGTATGTTGATCAAAGTTTTTTCACTGTCAATAAAAGGTACGAGCGTAAGAAATAATAATATGTTCAGATGGAAATAAATGGAGGGTTGTTACCCGGGTGATACCACAACTCAGCGCTCTGGTCTTTAAACCATAAACTGGCTCAGCAAACAGCAGAAAAAGTTTGTTTCTTGTGCTTTTAATCACATTATCCGCTTTTATTTCCTGCTGAAATTAGTTTTTATACATTAAAGCCACACAGTAACTTAAAATCCAAATATTAGTGTGATCTTTCGTTTAATAATGTCCAAAAAATAATTAAAAAAGGCTTAAACGACAATACAAAATAGCTTAAATAATAAATATCATTCATTTGGGCCCAACTCAACTGAGGTCAACTGAACAGTAACTAAGGCAAACAAAAACTGACCTACTGATAAAGAACAGAGGCTGCTTAAATAGGGGTGGAATAATCTAACCTTGCCACATGAGGGAGGCACAATATAACATAGAAACAACAAATTTAAAAAATCCATAGAAAACTAAAACATACTAAACACAATAAAACTACTTTTTAACTTAGCGCAAATAATAAGTGAATATTACGGTGACAAAATAACTAAGGTCAATTTAAACAAAATTCCCCCCTCAGTTCTTTGGGAAAGTGGTACGTTCCTAGTTTCCACCTCCAGCTGCTCTGCATTGCTCTGCTCTGCGAAAAATATACATCTAAATGGAATAAAGTAAATCTGGAACTAAATACAAACTATGAAACTATATAAATACTTTGAGGTGGAGGTAGAAGGATCCACCACAATTGGCTTCATTTGAGATTTATCAATATTCAGCACTCTGGGTACCGATGCTCCCGTTGGGCTGCTCTTTTCAAGATGTTGTCTGTTCCGTTGCTGAAGGAGTCATGTGACCCAGAGCGCAACTTTAAAGTTTCCAGTTGCATGTTTAAGGTGTGTCTCTGTTCCTGCACACCTAATTAGGGCTCCTCCTCTGCAATCAAGTGCTGCAGAGGCCTGTTAATCAACCATTCTGTTGTAGTGTGATGCAACAAGGCGACTCTTTAAACACCCTAAACTGATCTGACACATTTCCTCTTCTCAGATGCAGGATTTAATCTAGAAGCCTTAATAAAGCCTTGAATTTATAGGAACCTCCGTAACTTCTCAATTATTTTCAGATGAATTGGACCCAGTAGAACTGAAGATGGAGGGTAGAATAGAAATGTCCTGTAATGTTTCACAGTGGGGTAAATCAGGTATGCAGCAAAAGCTTCAGGAATTACAGTAAAAGAAGTCCAGATGCTTTTAATTGAATTGTTTTAAGCCGTTCAAGCATTTAATTTAAACACTGTAGAATAAAAAGGCCTCCTCTGTTGGGTAGTTTAGATTCCCTGCAGCCTCAAATAATTTACATCACCTATAAACTACAGTAAGAGTCTTTTAAATTTCCTTACCTTGCCTCCTTAATCTGTAACTCTTAAAGTGCTTTGAGTTGGCAGAAATTATTTATTATTCAAACATTACACTTAACAGCAGCAAACACGTTTATAATCCAGTTCCTCCCACATTTTTTCCTTTATTTTACTACAACAGGCAGGAATGAGACCCTGCAAAGCACCAAAAATAATGTGCACAAGATGCACGCTATTATTCTGAATGTTTACATGAAAAGGTTTCTGGTTTGAATGCATTTAATGAAAGAAGTAAATATGCAGGGAATTTGGTGAACTAATTCCTTACATCAGAAATGCTGCTCAAAT